TAAATATATATCTAAACATACCAGAAGCCCTTTTATATTATGCATTACTTTTTTGTGAACATTTAAATGGAAATGTTATTGTCAAGGGACAATAAAGTGTGGCTGAAAGTTATTGAAAAAGTTTGTAAAGATCCCGTAAAAAAACGTTTCAGCGAATGGGATGTGACAACTATATTGGCTGTAGATTTGTCATAGCGGTCAAGCTGGTGATAGATATATGAAAATTTACTCGAAGGAAGGTCTGGCGATCGTTATATTGCGTTTTATATGTAGCTGAGAAAAATATGAACATTTCGTCGCCTGAGAACTTAAGTCGTCCACAGACCAGAGCGAGTCCGGGCCAATTTCGACCTTAGCGTTCAGACGCGATTTGGTCTACAGACCATATTCTAGAAACGTTTGCTGCCTTGCGTTAGGGCGAATTCGGTCCACGTCCACTGTAACGAAGGAACCGGTTTCTACCATAATTTCTGCGGGAAAGAATTGTTTGGTCGTATTTTACAACGAATCAGTGAACATACGTTCATTCGCATGTTTTCAAATCGTATCTTTTGATTTTGTTTGATAAAAATTTCTCAATTTAAAATACATGAAAAATGCAATACATGTTTTTCCTGAATTTGTAATTACTAATGGAATGCATAAATTCCGAAATATTATGATCAATTTGTATTAATTTTTAATAATATATTCTACTGAAAATTTCTGAAACAATAGTCCATGCACTGTGATCAACACTGAGAAAATTTTAACAATAACATACTCTCAGTGATATTCGTTTTATATATTGTTGCAAAATATTTTAGTGTTTAAAAATCTCGTTAAATATTTCTCAGAACTGACTCCTTTAAAATAATACATGACACCGCAACAAAATGTACCCATATATTTGCAAACAAATCATTCCTTTTAGGATAAAGAATTAAATGCGCACTGGCTTTCCTAAATGATAAAATTTACAGTTCAAAATTTTTGACGTTCGGTTTACTTGAACAGTGAGCATTACATACAAATACCATAATTACATCACAATATTTGTTGGGCAAACTTTTGTTTGGAGGAGCAGGATGACAATAGGAAAAAATTAAAATTGTATTAGGTGGTACGTCTTTCGATAAAAATCCTAACTGTAGTCATAATTTGTACTTGTAGCTGTAAACGAAAATAAATATTTTGTAGTTATTATTGTGAACTTCCTACGAATGCAACAGAGAGAAAGATGAATTTATGGTAGTGTTTCCCGCGTAATTTTCAGGTAGTCACTCAGATGTTACGATTCTGAAATTGTTTGCCTGGTTTTCAACATTGTCTAGTACTTTTAGATAACAATGTCCTATACGACCCAACCTATTTATCTTTTACGTGTATTAATGTTTTTCAGAATTTGACAATTTTCATTAATATTTATATGTATTAATGATAATGAACATGGTTTCATCGAAAGCTGAGTGAGCGTCACTTTATTAATAACTCGATGTTTATCGTGTGTTAACATTTCATAATTTAATTTTTATATTACAGTTCTGAAGGAATTAGTTTTGTCAAATGTATTATATACATATATACAGGGCGATTCGGCCTAAATGACGAATTTAATTTGTCGTTAGCACGAAGTCTGTGATTTTAAAAACGTCAAAACAACTGTACAAAAAATTGTATACCTAAAAATCGATAAATAATATACAAATTGTAAAATAAATTTAAATATAAAATTAAATAATAAATTTAAGAAAATAAAATATACGAACAATGTAAGTAAATAGTTCTTTATGCAACTAGCGAGTAAAGTGTATCTTTTTTTCACGAGAAGGAAAATTTGCCACAAGAGCCGAAAGCGAGTGCGCAAATCCGCCAAATGAAGAAACGTCACTTTGCTCGCAAGTTGAGTACAAAATTTTTTTCGCGTTCATAACAAAGCTCAACAACCACCTACTTCAAAAACTCTTTATTTTGGAACATGGAATATTAAATGTAGCCGTACTTGCCGACTTGATGATTTCTTCAGGAGACCACGAGAAATCTTCGTCGCTGTCCGACTCCATGGTGCGAGTGAACAGTTTAGCACAAAACAGAGAAAAAACTAGTGCAGTGCACTTAAATAAGAATTAAATTATACAATTTTTTAATGCATTTTAATTTCTGACAAATGTGTTGATGAATCGTCATAGCAACGGCAGCTTCTATATTTTGCGTTTAAATGTCTTCCGTTAACAAATGACAAGCTACGACACAATGTTTCATTTAAATGCGCGAAAAAATGAACTGTGACATTTTTTTTCACTCCTCTAGTACATTGAAAAGAATGTATCCTTTATAAACAAAAATTAATAAAAAATGTTACACTTTTTTTAACGAACGTGAAAAAAAACAAAATTTTTAGGAATATCTACAACTTTTTGTAGATATAGTAATATATAATTGCGTTATAATTTTTATTTGCAACCATGCAGTTTTATTTATGTATTTTATGTAAAATAAAAGTTGAATTTATTCTGGAATATGTTTTATACAGTTTAACCAATAACTTGCCAATGCTTTTCACAAAATCAATAAAATTGTATATTTTTTATTAACTGTTTTTCTTTGTAAGTCATGTGTCATACACTTATATCCAAATCAGTAAATGTCATTAGAAAATTATTAATTGTCATGTTTGCATTTCGTGTCAAGATATTTCCTTTGTGCTGCATTCACCTCATAAGTACAGTGTGGGACACGGAATTTCAAACGACCTGTCAATCATAATGACAATAAGGTATAAGACTACAATGTTTTTAAATGTCAGAAAGTTGGTTGTCGTTTGAAATTCCGTGTCCCTGACTGTACAGAGTAATTAGGGTTAACATTCTGATTACTTTAAAAATCATATTTCCTAATTAAAAAAATATGTATGTGTAAGTACAGACTACAAAAGCATAAATAAAATATTTAATGCAATTGTAGAATACACCCGCCAGTACGCAACTACGCATTATATTAAATTAAATTTATAGTTAAAAAATTTGCATTAAGCAGCTTATGAATTAGTAGTGTTCAAACACTCTTACATTTTTTAATTAATCCTTATAATACAATTGACAAGACTAATTCCTTTAAAACTGTAATATAAAAATTATAAAATGTTAACAGACGATAAATATAGAGTTACGTATTAATAAAGTGACACTCACTCAACTTTCGACGAAACCATGTTCATTTATCCTTGTACGATATTAGTGAAAATGGTCAAATTCTGAAAAACATTAATACACGTAAAAGATAAAATAAATACGTCGGGTCGTATAGGACATTGTTATCTAAAAACGCTGGAGAAACTTGAAAACCAGGCAAATAATTCCAGAATCGTAACATCTGGGTGACTACCTGAAAATTACGAGGGAAACAGTACCATAAATTCATCTATTGTGGCTCTGTTGCATTCGTAGGAAGTTCACAATAATAACTACAAAATATTTATTTTCGTTTACAACTACAAATAGATACAATTTACCGAATACCGTTAGGATTTTTATCGAAAGACGCACCACCTAACATAATTTTAATTTTTATATTTTAAAAAGGAATTATTTTAAATTTAACTAGTCATCAGTAACAACTTGTTTTCTATTCTCATACAGCTCCTCTTCTGTTTGCCGAACAAATATTGTGATGTAATTTTGGTATTTGTTTGTATGTAATACCCACTGTTCAAGTAAACCGAACGTCAAAAATTTTTAACTGTAAATTGTACCATTTAGGAATGTCAGTGTGCATTTAATCCTTTATCCTAAAACTAGCTTTTGCCCGCGGCTTCGCACGCGTTAAATTAGGAGTAAAACAATGTTATTGTGGGTTATCTATAAGAGATAGACATATACCATCGCGCAGTTTTCTGTAGACCTTTTCAAACTGTACAATATCGTACTTCGTACATTATTTTGAGAAATCTCGTAGGGTTCAGCCTGCGTTTGCAATGTAAACGGAAAAAATGTAATTATTAATAACAATATTTCTTTACTATATAATGAATGTTATTATACATATAAACCTTCCTCTTGAATCACTCTATCTATTAAAAAAACCGTATCAAAATCCGTGGCGTAGTTTTAAAGATCTAAGCATACATAGGGACAGACAGCGGAAAGCGACTTTGTTTTATACTATATGTAGTGATGCATGCAATTTGTTTACAAACATATGAATATATTTTGGATTAACTTATTGAGGTGTTCATATATTATTTTAAAGGATTCAGCTCTGAGGAATATTTAATGAAATTTTTAAACACTAAAATATTTTGCTCTTCTTAAAAAAAACAATAGATAAACGAATATCACTAAGAGTATGTTATTGTTAAATTCAGGAAAAACATGTATTGCATTTTTCATGTATTTTAAATTGAGAAATTTTTATCCAACAAAATCAAAAGATACGATTTGAAAACATGCGAATGAACGTATGTTCATTGATTCGTTGTAAAATTCGACCAAACAATTCTTTCCCGCAGAAATTATTGTAGAAACCGGTTCCTTCGTTACAGTAGACGTGGACCGAATTCGCTCTAACGCAAGGCAGCAAACGTTTCTAGAATGTGGTCTGTAGACCAAATCGCGTCTGAACGCTAAGGTCGAAATTGGCCCGGACTCGCTCTGGTCTGTGGACGACTTAAGTTCTCAGGCGACGATTTAATTTCATTTAAAACTAGTCTCAAAAAATCGGTCTTGTCGCTAGAAACGGACTCGGGTAATGGAGGAATGTGTTAACACAAATGTGTATTTTATTATGTAGTGTACCTTTTTCTGGCTAACTTTCTCAGAGATAACAGAGACACATTTGCATGGCCTTTGACTTTGTTTTCTTAGTTCCGAGAGTCTCTTTGATGCTTCTTTACATATTCACTCTGCTGGCATATTTTGTTCTGCTTGACGTTAATTTTTCAGGTAGGTTTGCGCTCTTAGTAAAAAAAGAAAAGTCGTTTTATTTTATGATGACTTGAATGAGAATCATTATGTGGCTTTTAGGTTCACCCATGCGGAAGATACCGACACAACACCGTAGTTTTTATACTTGCCAAAGAATACAACTTGAAGAATTTAAGGACAATACATAGGCTGGATAGGTTAACGAGCGGCCTGCTACTGTTTGGCAGGTCTCCGAAGAAGGCCAGACAAATGGAACACCAAATCAGGAACAGACTTGTGCAGAAAGAATACGTCTGTAGAGTGGAAGGGGAATTTCCAGAGTGAGTTATTAGGTTCCCGTTGGCTTGAAATATAAATTGACCTTATTTCTCTTCTAGTGAAATAATAGAATGTAAAGAACCCATCGAAGTTGTTAGTTACAAAATAGGAGTTTGCAAGGTTTCTCCTAAAGGGAAAGATTGTAACACTATCTTCCAAAAATTAGGTTATAATGGAAAAACTAGTATTGTGTTATGCAAACCGAAAACGGGACGCATGCATCAAATCAGGGTACATTTACAGTACTTAGGTAAGCGTTCATTTATCTGGTTAATACCTTTCACGGATGCTAAGAAAGTAAATAAAAATATACAATTCAATTTTTACGGAAACCTATCGCATAAAACTGATGAAATATACGTAGGTAGATTTTTTATTTCAAGAAATACATATTATGAGTACGTGGAAGTTTTATAAATATATACATATATACGTTTTGTGAACGGATTTAGTTAAGCCTCTTTACACTGAAACCAGAACGGGAATAGTTGTTGATCATTATTGAATAAACGTTGTACCAAAATAGATAATTTATATCTGGATACAACCATTATTATTGAACTAATTCCGATAAATTACTTGTTTGAGTTAATTTCACATTTTTCTGGGGAGGAAATACCTCTTGTGAATATTATTATAATATTTAAACAATCGCTACCAGTATTTTGAGTATTACATATTTAATTCATTGAACTACATACTGCATTTTAAATCACATAAATTTAAAATGTCGACTGTAAATATTACTTAAAAAATTAATAAAAAAAATATAGTTTGAAATTGAATATTGTTTTCTAATGCTTTTTATTATATATTACAATGTCCTTAATTGTATAGGCTGGCCAAACGGATTAATGATTTAAAAATTCGGCATTCCACTATTTTTAAAATACAAAACATACATAAATTACAGTGTGCAATAATCTTTATAATTAGTTATATTTCAACATTTTTCCTAAGGGTGATTAGATTTGCCTATAGGTACTCGTTTATTCAGTATCCTGTATTATCTGTTACTGTTTTTTAATTACGCTGTTTCATTTTTAAGTTTTCGTTTTTTGTAAAGTACAAATTTTATAGTCATAAATACAAATACATAGTTGTACATAAAATTAAATATCTTATTACATAAAGATTTTTAGATCTTGTTCAAAATTGTTAAATCCTTAGCTTATAATGATATTTCATATTCAAGATGTGAAACTTACTGTAACAAATTCTCAGCTCTTGCTAAAGTAAGTAATGCAATATTTTAGGATATCCCGTGGTCAACGACCCACTATACAACCACGAAGTCTTTGGGCCTATGAAAGGAAAAGGCGGAGATTTAGGAGGAAAATCTGACGAAGAACTAGTACGTGACCTGATACACATCCATAATGCTGAAAACTGGTTAGGGATGGATGGAGACAGCGAATTATCCATGTTTAATCCTAGGAAGGCAGATCTGGATGATTCCCTGGTCGGACCTCTTGTGCCTAAAGGTAAAATTAAATATTAACAAGATCATGCAAAAAAACAACCATTACCGTTCCAGATCGAGTATTAGGAGACGACGACGCTGATCCTGTGTCAAGAGAACCATCGCCGTGCGATGAATCTTGTGACAACAATTCTTCGATTCCTTGCGAGTCGTCACCGCATCCATTAGCTTTATCGTCACTCACCACTAGTAGAAATGTAGATGCTAAAGTAACAGTTGCTACTCAAACAGGTCACGAAGCTCCGGACTTTAGCTTTAATCCTGATAAAATGACGGTCGATAAGCACTGTTACGAGTGTAAGGTCCGGTATCGGGATCCCAAACCTCAAGATTTAGTTATGTATTTACACGCTTGGAAATACAGGGTGAGTCGTCAATCAAGCGGAAGATAGGGTTTATTATAAGAGTTATTATGTTCCAGGGTCCGGGATGGGAATTCGAGACAGAACTTCCAGATTGGGCAAGAGTAGACTGGGTAGATCCAGACATATCTGAGTGATGATTGTAACAAAACTTATTTCCCTAATATAAGGCATCTCTTATCCACTCTGTCTTTCCATGCTATTAGATTATTGTGGTAGGGTAAAACAGCCCAAGCAAAAGGCAGGGTCCAAAAAACAATCATTTCTTTAGATTTGCGTTACATTTTATAATAGGTTTAAAAAAACTGAAGCGATTGAAGGGTAACGTTGGTTATGTTCATAGATTTTTAGACGAAATATGTTGCGTTAAAATTTAAATTTCTTCATGTAAATCGTAGGTATTTCAGTGCTCTCTCGAACATTTTTAAGGTTGGCCTCTAGTATTCAAATGTATAATGAAATTCGCAATCAAGTATTTTTATATAATAATATCGTATCTAAAAATGAAGAGTCATCTTGAAATCTTTATAATTATTGTAGTCGTTACAATAAGTGCCATAATTGATATCTGCTGGGTGTTGCAAAGGCAGATTTTTTATTTCGTCTCATCAATAAAAAGTACTGGAATACATATTGTGCCTTGAACGTGTGTTGTGAAATCATTTGCAGATTTTCTGTCAAAATATCCCGACTCCCATATCAGCTTCGGACCCTTGCTTAGTCAAATTTTAACTTATTGTTATTAGTATTGTTATGATTATAATTTAAGCACTGACAAGGATTGTTACAAATTTATAGGATTGTAGGCTGTAGTAAGTCCCATTTGTCATTTCTTTATGTTATTGATCATAAATAATTTAATCATTTCTTATTAATGTTAGAAATCGTCAGTTATAACACTGCTAAGCAACCAACCGTGCTTAGTTTATGACAGATCTTCATATGTTTTTTTTTTAAGTAAAGTTGACAATATCCCATTAAATATAGCGTTTTTAATTTGTTCTGTATTTTTGTATTTCTGTGAAATACTGTAACAACTCATTCATTCCTATACAACTATAGGATGTTCAAATAATTGATTCCAACCTAAATCTTTAACATTAATTGGGTCAGTGCTTTCAAATTAAATTATTTAAATAAAGACATTATACGAACATTCATTGTGTACAGATTAAGTCTGTAGCATAAAATTATTTGTAAGTAAGTTTATTTGTGAACAGCTAGTTTTTCTAAAAATATATTAAGAAACGATTATACTTCCTCGAATTGATTGTAATTTCTTCGGATTTGCAAGAAATACGTGAAATATTTTTCTATAATTTATAAAAGTATCCATCAAAAGTTAATATATTTTTTGCAAAAACTAACTGCATTGTAATTAATCTTTGTGATGTTACGACAATTATAGGGACCTATTCTACAATAGTATATAAGTTTTTATTATCGTCACTAGGGTATATGACATTTTAAACAAGAAGAAAAACGAGATCATCGTGCGCTTGCGATATGTACTCAAGATTTTGATTACGCTTTGAAAATATTGCTGAAAATCGAAATATTTTAGTCTTTTAGGTGTAACAGAAAAATCTTGTAGCAATTTATGCAGTCAGTGAATGTGTATTTATGTTACATAATTTGATTCCTTAAGTTGGATATGAGTTAAATTGATGGGATTAAATTATGCGCATGTCTATTAGCCAAAACAATATGAAAAACATTTCAAAATTATACAATCTCAAAATGAGCTTAATAACTTATTCAGTATGTATAGCTTTTATAATTTTTTAAAAGAACAATAAAATTAAAAACGAAAATGATTATGTGCAAGCTTTGCGCTTCCATTTATATAATTAAGTACCTAATAGATTCTAGTTTAAAGGCGAAACATCAAAATATGCAAACTTTAAAGAATAAAGACCTATTTTATAATGAATACAAGCAGCGCTTATAATTATTATTGTCTCGTGGTGTGTTTATTATGTTTTATTGAAATATTCGCACTTTACGTTAATTATTATTATAAAAGACAGTATTGTGTTATACATTGTTATAGTTTTTCTTTTTTGTTATAGTTACCATTCACAACATTTTCCATCATGATTGTAATTATGTTTTATAGTAGTATTTTTATTGTGAATGGAACGTTTTACATTTACAATATAGACATTGTAGCTATATGCTACATTATTGTTTATTTGTTTTTATATTTCATAGCTTGTAATCTGTGATGATTATTGTTTATACAGCTATGACAGGTTATTTTTAAACGTAAAAATTCTGCTGTGTTCAAATATTCGGTTCTTACAGCTTATTTGATAGTTTCACATTGCAAGGGTGCAAAAACTATAATTTGAACCGAATATCCGTACTCGGCTACTGTAAGTTATTGTAGGACAGTGTGTAATAAAATTCATTTAAAACTGACATTTCGATTTTTTTCTAGTTTTAGACAATAATGTTAGTAAGAGTCTACCTTAAATATAGGTTTGACAAAATAGATACAATCAAAGTCAGAAAATCTTGGACATCAGTGTCATTCCATTGTCACAAAGTGCAAAACACCTTTAGTCGAAAGTTATTTTTTTAAATTGTCATTTTTGACACTGGATGCACCGTTAAACGTTCAGTGTCAAAGTGACAGTAAGGCATATACAATATCCAGATTTTCGAAATGATAGAAAAGTGACAACCAAAATTTTCTTATCCTGACGAGATGAACTGAGAGTGCTGAGTACTATAATTATTTTAATAAATAGCAGCAACATTTTTTTCGAGAGTTGATAAAGAAGACGTATTTTTCATAATTAAAAAATAATAATAACGAAAAACGTTTAGAAGAAAAAATATGTCACATATAAATTCAGTAAATTCGTTTTTTTTGTGTCATTCGTAAAAGCTGTTAGAGAATAAGAAAAGGCAAAAACCAACAATATGGTGCTTAAAGTTGTTATGACTACATATATATGTCCCAGTTTGGATTAAAATTTCGAGCCGTGAATAATTTGAAATAAATACAGATTGTTACTCCATGACATAAGCAACCACATGTAGCGACTTTCTGTTATTATGTTTAGAATGTACAGCTTCAAGTAGAAAATTTGATGGTCACACGAAGTAGGTTAAATTTATTTTGTAGTTTCATAAAATGGCCATTGTCTATTCGAAAATTAATCCTACAGACGCCACAGTTTCTTCCCAACGAGCGTAATTAATTATTTATTAATGTTCCTCTAATCTAAACTATTGTGAAGTTCCGCTAATGTCAACATCGTGGTGTCAAATTTTTGTCTGTTGTTTGTAAATTCACAGTTCATGTTGATTTTTAACTGTTCCTGGTTCTCACACAATTTAACAGCTATGAAAAACCACGTGTTAGGAAATTCAGTTATTCAGGCTTCACTCTTTTGTTTATCAAATTATAACTTAGGTTTGTGTTTTTTTTTTCTAAGGTATTACATTATATGGAACACTTCTTAACTTCTCACGAGATTGCTAATAGGTAGTTCATTTATGGCATTTTAAACTGTTCTAAACGTGGTCCATTTTGAGGGAAAGGACCTTGAAAATTTGCGGTTAAGCTCATGCCTTCGTGGACTCGAAAAATGGGGGGATTTTATATTTTTTTCTTATAGGTTTAATAGTTTGTCTCAGACCTAATTATTCTCTTGCAGGTTTAATAATAGGCAATGCATCTGAACGCAGTCTGCCATAAAAAAAAAACACAACACAGGATTCCACTTTTGTTGGCGATCACAAGTCAGGGCAAGTTTTTCAATTTTTCGCGGCTTTTAAAATTTTGTTCATATGTCAAATTATGGCGGGATGTTTGGGTTATCACAGAATAATGTAATTTAGAGGAAAATTGCTTCATTCAAACAACTAAAGGAGTCGCAGCAAGAGGAAATACTGAATGAAACTCATTTTTTTTACCTAGATACCTGTTTCGAATGTGGCAAGCTTAGATCATATAATAATTTATTATATGATCTAAAGTGGCAAGTCCTTCAACAGTATTCTCAATCTTGCAAAAAATAGTCTTTTATTCCTGTTATTGGTAGTTGAGTAAGTGCATAGCAAAAATAATAAAGGTAGTCAAGTGCCTCGACGTAAAGCGATCATCCGTCTCGTATTTAAGCGGACAGTTTCTTATTTTCATCAGCCGTTCCGTATATTTTCAAACCTTTTAATTTGTTCCATATTTTGAAAAATGACCCATATAAGTTTCGTATTATTTCAAAAAAAGACAATTAATCGAAAATTGATAGGATGTTCGCTAAATTTGATTTAGGCTCAATCCCAATACATTCGTACCTATATACATCTGTCGTTGTCAGAAGAATAAAAATGCCAAAACGAAAATGTATTCTTAACAAAGACCTAGAGAGAGAGTAGGTATTCATTTATTGTAAAACATTCTCGCCGTTTTATTTTTCTTTAAACAAGAAATCTGGAATCGAATTTTATATATGCTTTGTCCAGTGAATTTATATTAAAATAGTTGAACACGGCTATCGAAGCATGGTCGAAAATCAAAGCCAAATAGATCGTCTGCATAGCAAACAAAATAAGCCATAATCACAAATATACCTATAATAATTAGGGATGTACCGACTAGTTGCCGACCGGTCGGATAAGCCGACTAGTCAGCCGTTTTTCATCGTCGGCTGGCAGTCGGCGACTGGTCGGCTAAACGGCTTTTTTTATTAAAATTAAAATAGTATATAATACAATTAAACCCGGTGTACAGAACCTCAATTAAATATTTAATTGCGATTTAATTTTTAACACGGCGTTAAAGTACCATGTGACCGACTCTACGCCAATCAAACGTCACTAATGGCCTTGTTAAATGCGTGATCAACTTAATCTCAGTTAAAATATTGTATGAACTGGCCCTAAATTATGTTATTCTTTATTTTTGTACTGAGTAACTACAAAAAAAAAATTAAATGTTAAAATTATCCAAACAAATTTAACACATTTTTTGGAAAACAAAGGAACTTTAGTTATCCCTTTTATTAAAATAAAACAAATTTTTAAGGTAGTCAGAGAAATAGAAAAAAAACACACTGTCTGTCGCATTTATAAACCGGTTTTAGCAAAGCCGCACAGTCGGCCGACTAGTCGGTTTTTACTGGCCGAACAATCGGCTAGTCGGTTAGTCGGCCAGACCTACAGTCGGTACATCCCTAATAATAATATATAACTGAGAGATCACGGAAAATTAATGTCTAAGGTTTTCATTTTATGTTTGTGTCCATTTCCTCGCAAATAAAATATACCACTGCCAGAATACTATATAAAAAAATAAATCAGTTTGATAGATGATGCGAAATACGTGACGTAGTAAATAAAGATACCGCTAGAAATAAAATAAAAGTCGTTTATTAAAAAAAGAAAACAAATTTATCATTGTCGGAGGCCATATGACTTCTACTCTCATACATTTCGATTATAAATCAATCAGTTCATGAATAAATGTAATTAAACACATAGGTATGCCTCTTCATTAAACAAGGAGGGTGGTTCTTGTCATGAGAACATGACTACACAGTTTCAAGTTTCACAATTTTACAGTTTCACGGACAATACCAAAAATGGGAATGGTAATAATGATTAAATAATTGGTTTTGCTTTGATGAAAGTGCTGTATTGCACTAAACTATGTTATTGCAGAATATGCTTCCTGTGTAATGTTAAAATGCACAGTGTCAGAATGTAACATAAATTGTAAACTTCTCCAGTTGATGGTAACTTGGACGTAGCGTTATTATGGTCGTGTAAACGTAACAAATAGAGGGGCGACACTAAAATCACTGTTCATTTCCGATAAGCTGAACAATTTAAGAAAGATGAAATGTAGGACACTCACACTTAAACTGAAGCGAAACTAATCCATCAGCTTCTCCAGCCCATGTTGTAAATTTTTATAACATATAAGCAGCAGCTGTTAGTAGGGTCAGTCGTTGATCTGTAGTGACTGGCAATTACTCGAAGCCTATTTCTCCTTCATCTTAGCACTTGTGGATCTATGACGGTTCTTCTGCAAGATGGCGGTATTTATCAAATGGTATCTTATCTACTTTTGTAAAGTCAATACATCACTTTTACAACAAACATTTTTCTAAATAAAAATTGCGCTTTATTATTATAATCCCTCAACAGGCTGAAAGCCCAATTACTGAGGGATAAAACTGGAAAATGAAGGCAAACACAACTAAGTAAACATATAGTTAGACCACAGTATAGATATCAATCAGTAGAGACAACTCGCTATTTTTACTGACCCGTTTTCATGGGTGGTCGTTTGTCTTGTGATCGTATGAGGGCGCGCAACGCAAGGTACTTCTCTTTCTTATACATTGGTACATTGAACTGCGGTACTTTGTTTGTCTAGTGACTTTAATGTGAAATATTTGAAATTTGGCAGTTTAGTTGTATTGGTTTTGATGATTTAAGACTGATCTTCCGGTGTAATTATTGCAGTTAAGTATAATTTTCACAGACACATTATTTTAAAAAGCGTTGTTCACTTTTTCATAGGACCAGTGTTTACTGTTTAATTTTTTTTGTAAAAACATTAAATGTACATATATTAGCGTTTTCTAATAACGTTGAATTTTACAACCATTTACAGCCATCATGAAAAAGAAATTAATGAAACGTAAAATCGTTATCAGAGAAGCCGGCCACATCTAAATTTCAACACGGCATCTCTGTTATACGGCGCTTAATTAATTTATTATAATAGACTGTATGGTTTCTAAGATCAACTAGTTACAAAATGTTATTGTTATTACACTATTTTTAAGTCTTTTCCAAAAATTCATTTGCACAAAGTGTAGTAAATTGTGTACACGAATCAATTTTAAAATGAAGCGTTTGTGATCCTTTTTAAATTGGGTGGCGACATCTAGAAATATTTTGGGCAACGACCACCGATGACGGCTTAAAATTCGGGTCAGAAAGATCAAAGGCGCCGACACGAGTTGTCTCTACTGATTGATCTCTATACTGTGGTTAGATTACACACTGAAAAACTGCTTAATTTTTGCCGGCGAACTATTAAATATATCAATTTCAGATTTCACCTGGCTATAGTTTTGAAGCATTTGATAAACCGGGGACGATTTCGATATGTTTGTTGTTGGGACAGGCATATGCAATAACAAAGAATATGATCTTAAACCAGGTTTTAACACACGCAGCTTTAGAATCACAAGAAGATCTTCTCATTTGATATGATAGTTTAAAATATGTATTATGCAACATTAATATAGAAGCTGCTGTTCGTCGAGAGACGAAATTTTGTTAATTAAATCTACGTAACAGTAGATAGGTAATTTGAAAGTCCTCTTATAGGGTAAACACCATTGCAGATGTAAGACAAAAATTTTAGGAATCGACGCTGGGTTTTTGCCAGCAGAGAAATGTAGGTTATGATACCAAAAGAACCCTTAAAACATCAAGATCTTTAAATTCCGCCACGTTGCGAACAACAAAGCGTAATGATTTATGCGCCGAGGTCGAGATAATCTCATAGTATTTATTGAAACTTAATTTAGCATCATATGTACCTAATATGTAACACCCAAGTCACATACATAATCAGGACGTTGCAGGACTGTTTGATCCAGGACGTAATTGTGTACAGCATTTGACAGTTTAATCGAATATGAATTTACGACGCATTTGTCAGGATTTAATAGCAAATTATTTTTTTCTGACCATAGCAACACACGATTCAGTTGTTTTGAAGACGAACAGAATCCAAAGAGGATTGTATGCGAAAAAAGATTTTCAAATCATCTGCATAAAGTAAGAAAGTAACATCCAGAACATCGACAATATCATTGATATACATTATAAACAACAATGGTCCCAATACCGAGCCCTGCGGTACACCAGATGTCTGTGGAAACTGACGTGAGGAGCAACTATTACAAAATGCCTACTGATATCTCTTGCTCAGTTAAGATTTAAAGACATTTAGCAAACCGTCGGAAAAACCAAAACTCTCCAGTTTTTGCAATAGAATACGATGGTCAATACGATCAAAAGCCTTAAAAAAATATAAATAATTGCAATCAATTTGGAGATGGTTGTCAAGCATCTCAAAGATATATTGCGTCTTAATCATCAGATTCGTGACAGTCGACTTTCCTTTAATGAAACCATGCTGCACCGGTGCCAAGAACTGCGAAACATGGGAAAAGATGCAAGCACGCATTACAAGTTCAAACACTTTAGCAAAGTTGTCGATCAAAGCAATTGGCCTGTAATTGTAATCACTGATATCCGCAGTGCTTTCTTTTTTATGAATAGGCAAAATCCTAGTTAACTTCCATTTGTCCGGAAATTTTCAATTACCCAAAATCAAGTTGAATATGACTATTAAGTGGAGTAGCTAAAATTATGCCATAGTCTTTCACAAAGAATGAAGGAATCTCATCGGGTCCAACGGTTGACGTCGGCTTTAGTTTCCTGATGGTTGTAAGCTCTTCAGACTCGTTAATTTTTCTAATATCTAATATATTTTTATTTAAAGCACTCACAAGATCACTATCAACGGACGTATTTGATGAGATGCTCCTAACAAGATGAAATGATTTGGCAAAAAAAATGTTCAAACGCATCAGCACTGTCTTGAGGCTTCGAAAGTTCATTATCATGGCATAGCTGGAATACATGCATGATTCGATTTATTTTTAATAAACGTCCAACACTTTTTTGGGTCTCTCTTAATATCAGAAGTGATGTTTTGCAAATATTCTTGGTAGGAATTCCGAATCAAGAGTTTTATAGTAGCAGGGTATATATTAGTGTTATTTATTATATTAAGTGTGATTTTGGCGACGTGTGTACCCTTATTTGCATGTACCACCTGAGCTGTATTGCACACTGTAAAAAATAAAAATTTTAACAATAGATGCCCCATGCAAATGTGGCAACAAAGTTCCTTGACAAAAATTACAAGCTTATTATACTTTTTGAAATACAATGTGTCAGATTATGAAACTATAAATGAAAACAAGTCAGAATAATCATTCAGATTTTCAATTTTCATCACCATTTTACAATAAAATAAGTTTAAACATACGTACAGAGATTTGGCAACACCGATTTGACTAACCGCAGAAGTTCCAATTTTTGTAACCATGACAGGACAATAAAAGTATAACAATGATGTTGATTATTGTTTTTATTGCAACGAAAACCCATTTTATTTTATTCAAACTCTAACAACAAAAATTAAACGTATACAATATTTTATAAGGACAACTATAATTAAAATCGGAAAAAATGTAAAAAATAATACGGAACAACACGCATTTATAAATGCTCAAAGTAAATGTTCAAATGTTGGCCACTGACATCTGAACATGCATTTGCACGTTTCGTAAGTCTTGATATTGTCCTGCACTCGCTGTAGCATCTGCGCAGTAATAGATTCCGCACTGGAGAAATTCTTGCCAGCAGTTCTTCACGATTTGCTGGTACTATATTGCACAAACCAAGTTTTTAAAATGGTCCCAAAGAAAAGGTGAAGGAAGAGGCCATAGTGTTGATCCACCTTGACCAGTCTACCTTCCTGGGAAACTATTATTTAACAAGTCTATAACAGGTCTTGCATGCTCCATGGGCTCCATCTTGCTGCAACCATATATCCCGAAACAATTGTAATGGCAAATTTTACAATATAATTGGAGTTTCTCCATTAAAAAATGTAAAATGTCCATCGACACGATTAGGCAAACTAGTTAATCCCAACAAATTGCTGCTTATTATTCCAGTCCAAACGTTAACGAAAATTTCCGTTGGTGATGGCTTTGGTGCATAACATGATTTTCTGTGGCCCAATTCTCCATTGAAAGTGCCCACAAAACGTGTCAGATAAAATTTTTAACCTCCTCGACTTTTTGTAGCAGCCAAATACGGTAATCAACCCTTTCCACATAGCCATCTTCTCCAACGCTTGTACTCGAGTATAGTGATAAGGATGATAATCCATGAAACATCATTTCAAAAGAGTTTTAGGACAATCATTGTTCACTTATGAGGAGTTGTGTACCCATGTGACGCTGATAGAGGCGTTCCCGTTACCAGTTCAAGCTGATGTGAGCCATATATCAATATTCATCAACTGGATCAATGGCAAAAGATTCAGAAATTACGCTAACATCTCTGAAAAAAGTGGTCCAGGCGCATGTGAATCATGTGATAAGTTGGCCAGATTCTCGTCCTATTTTCTGTAACTGGCACTATATGTATGTACTTTAGCAATCTTAGCATAAATCTGATATCTATATTCCTCTCTCTAATCCCTTCGATTTAAATTCCGTACCAATGACTATACAATTAGTTGGTCCGGCGTCCCACACGTCAGAAATAAACAATCTTCAACGGCATCCTCTACGAGCTTAGAGGTCGCACTACGTAATGTAACTAAGATCGGAAACTTACTCAATGTGTCTAAGAAGACTAACAAAAATATATGTCCGACACCACCTTCCACGGCTTTTACAGAAGCATTTCAGGATATCGTTAGTCCCGCAGAACACAATTGCGATGGTTTTAGATCGTGCACATATCTCGCAAGGACAGACGTACCGTATCACATCATCATGGGCCAAGAGTGTCTTGGTATCACTCGCATATGTAGGTCATCCAAATGTACAGTGGCTGAATAATGGTTTTCCGACAACAGCTTACGCCGTTCTGAGTTCAGCACAATTAACCCTTTCGCTACGAAGCTCGAATTAAAATTACTTGCCTCTAAAACGAGACATTTTTTTGGTTTTGAAAACGTACGGTCTTCGTTTCGAGGACTCCATTTTTCGTAAACATACGTCCTTCGTACACAGGATACAAAATTAAGATGAATCAAGAGAAATACAACCAAACATGTTTAGTCAACCAAGGTGGCATCACCAGTACAATAAATGTACTGGATATGTATATTGATGATATCAACTTGTTTAACTAAACGCATAGCCTTGTTGATATATTCAATTTAGTGTTATGGATTTATTTTACTTTAATATTTTAAGTCATCTACGCAGGTTTTAAAGTATAACTACTTGTATACTTTAATTAGAAAGCATTAACGTGCTAAACGAAACTAAAGTTGAGCTCACTATTTGAATTATACCACCTAGACGAAGACCGTAATTTTTCGTACAGAACAGAAAGCAGAATTCTAATTTATGCAGTCAGTGCCATCTGTGTACAACGGATTTAAAGAAAACGTACAGACCAAATGCGTACGGGCTTCG